AAAAAAAAACAAAGGACACACAACCATAATTTGGGCCAACTATTTATTTTGGAGGTCTATCTTGTGCATTGTAGGATGTTTGGCAATATCCCTCGTCTCTACTTACTAGATGTCATTGGCACCTATCCCCTAGTTATGACAACCAAAAATGTCTCCAGACATTGCAAAATTCCCCTGGGAGGACAAAAATCACATCCAGTTGAGAACCACTGACCTAGAGTGATGATGTGTGAATTTCTGATTGGTTTGTTTGTTGTTTGAAGACTCTTCTTTACATGTTTTGCCTTTTCTTAAATTTACTAAAGGGGAAAAATGAAAATTAAGGAAGGAAAAGAAGCTCCACTCCTTCATTTATTTATTCATTTAACAAATTCTTATTGAATGCCTAATAGGTAACAAGCGTTGTATAAAAAATAAACAGGTAGGACATGGTCACAGTCCAAATTTTATAATTTCCATATGACTTATCTAATTTAATCTTATCATGGTTTGATTAACTTCCATATTTCCAAGAAATTGATGCCATGATTATTTCTAATCTAGGACCTTAATGCACAAGCAAAATATTATATATATGTCCTTTTGCTACAAATGGTTAGAAAACTCACTGCTGTAGCCATTTTTGGTGCTATCATTTAAATTCTCCTTACCTTTGCATGTATTGGTTAGATATTGCTACAATAATGCTGTTAAACAGCAACCATAAAATCTCAGTGGCATACAACAGTAGGCATTTATTTAAATTGCACATCTGTGGGTTGGCCAGGGCCCAAATGATCTAGGCTGGGTTCAGCTTGAATGTGTCTGCTCCATGTGTTCCTCATCCTCTTCCTTCTACCAGCAGACGAGGCTAGGCATGTTCTTCCACGACAGTGGCAGAGGCACAAGAGAAGCAGAATCACTGAAGAGCTAGGCTCCGAACTGACACTCTGTTGCTTTTGCTGTATTCCCTTCAGCAAACACAATGTCTCAAGGCAGAGAAAATATACTGCATCCGTGGGGATGAAGGCAAATGCAAATTTACACAGCAAAGGACATGGACCACACAAGAGTTGAAGGATTAGAGCCAATGCTGCAATTTTTCAAAGAGAGAAAAAAAATGTTTTGTTTAATCATCTAAAAGTTAAGATTTCTGAACACAGACTCTTAAATTAAATTAATGAATACAATAGCAGAATAATAATTTTCAACAATGCACAAAAAAAGATTAAATAAGCCACTAACCTCAGAGAGATTATGATTTCAGTGTATTTTTATGAGAACAGCAGCAATACCAAATTTATTTTTATTACAACAATTTGTTTCTAAAGACCAACATTTCAATGATAAATACCAGTAACTGTCTTTTACTGTCATATATACCACACCTTTTATAGCAGTTTTAAGAAAGCACCTTTTCAGATGTTATTATTTATATTCTCTTTTTGTTCTTAAAAGGAATTTTCCTGAGACAAAATACTTCTTAAAATCAAGTACTAATCCTCCAGATTTAGATTTCTACATTCTATATACTCCAGGGGGGGAAAAAAAATAATTGGATTGGGGCCGGCCCGGTGGCGCACTGCTACAGTGCACCGCTTGGGAGCGCGGCGGCGCTCCTGCCAAGGGTTCGGATCCCACATACAGACCAGTTCCCACTCACTGGCTGAGCGAGGTGCGGGCGTGACACCAAGGGTTGCAATCCTGTTGCCGGTCCCAGTCCGGTACGGGCACGACACTGAGGGTTGCAATCCATTGCCGGACATGAAAAAAGACAAAAAAAGGAAAAAAAATAAAATAAAATAAAATAA